TTTTTGGGGGGGTTTTTTTTGGGGGGGGGGGGTTTTGGTGTTTTTTTGTTGGGGGGGGGGGGGGAAGACAACATCTCGAGTTTGCAGACTACCAGGCATCCTGCCTTCTCCTGCGCCGTCTTCGGCGTTTCTTCGCTCGTCTGTACCTGAAAATACCCGCAAGCCCTTTTGTTTAGGGTCTCAGAAGCTTGTCTGGTGTCTCCAGTGGGCGGGAGGAAACACAAACAAAACAAACTGAGACTTGAGGTGAATTTATAGACATAAAACAGAAATAAGATTTTCACTTTTTTTTTTTTTTGCTTAAGGCGGTGTGTGTTTGCAGAGACACTTCAGAGACAAGGACTTTTGCATACAGCCTTCATATAGTGGCATGTTAAAAAAATCAAACATCTTGATATAAATGGAGACATTATGATGCTCACTATACTTGAAATAAAACATTTCTTTTCTCCTGTCAGAGCCCAAGGTTTCATTTCAACTACTTTTCTATTTCTACGCTCTGCCGTTGTCTCTTGGTTTTCCTTGATTAAGTCTTCTGTGAGCTACAATTACTCACTCTGCTCTGTGTGTGTGTGTGTATTGTATCATGCTCATTACAATTACCTCTGGGTGTAAGTGTGTCATCTGTTGCCTGCTCATGTTCCAATTTCTCCAAGAGTGGCGAGGGAAACGCCCGCCTCCCTGTGCAACGCAACAATGTGACCAGGAGAGAGGAAGGAAATCTGTATTACGAGCTGTGATTCCTGCTTTCCTCTCAGTTTTATTTAACAGCAGCACGTATCCAGCAGGCGCATATACTCCACAGCTGTTTTAGTACACTGAGTGCTTTGCAAAACTATTTATACCCCACAGAATTTTTTTTTTCAGCCAAAAAACAAACAAACAAAAAAAAAGCAAATAGAATGCCAACTCTGCAAACCATAGTAAGACAGAATCAGAGAAGCAGCCAAGAGGCCGATGGCAACTCTGGAAGAGCTGAGAGAGCCACAGTACAGGTGGGAGAATCTATCTGCGCAGCAGCTATTAGCCGTGTACTCCACCAATCTGGGCTTAATGGAAGACTGGCAGGAAAAAAAGTCAGTAGAGGTTTCATTTGCAGTTTGCCAGAAGCCATGAAGGGGACATAGAAAACTGAAATTGAACTTTTTTGATGTCCTTGAAAGATAATAAAAATTAACACCGAACAGTATAAACATACAATCTCAATTGTGAAACATAGAGGTGGCAGGGTTATGCTGATGGGATAATTCTCTTCAGCAGGGGAAATAATCAGTTGTTTTTTTTAGTCACAGTTGCCATTCAATGTAGGAGAGGATAGGCAGAGGTACGAAGGTAAATGCAGGAAAATGCAAAAAGAAAACCTGTTACTGGTTGCTAAAGACTTGAGAGTGGAGTTTAGGGTTTGCCTTCTTGCTGGATGACTCAACATAAACCGTCAATCAGAGCTACTATTCAACAGTTCATGTGTTATAATGGCCTAGTAAAAAGTTTAGATATAAAATCTAAAAACAACATTGGAGGTGAGCAATTTTGCCAAGAATTGGGATAAAAATGTGGAGGTCTACATGTTGCAACCCAGCAGCTGGACTTGCAGCAAAAAGCGGCTCTAGAAATGATTGACTCGAGGACGATGAGTACAAACCCATGACAAAACATGTCAGGTTTCTGTTTCTAAAAACTCTTTACCAAAAGAACACACCACTTCAAGTTTATCACATCAGCTCCAAATAAGATACTTTTACGTTTGAATGAAAATAAGATATGGTTACAAAATGTGGGAAAAGTCCAATACGTATGAATACAAGGCAGTGTAGACATGACAAAATTGGTCTTGTATTCAAGAAGATGGAGCTTGTAACAGTTGGCAGACGTCACAAAGGAGCAGTACTGAGGATGACTCTTGGGAGTTTTGACAGCTTTCATCACGCTATGATTGGCTTGTGGTATTATTTTATGAGATTTCATAACTTTACATCTTTCTAGTGAGCTGTGAGGGGCCAGCAAGGAAGCAGTCTACGAATCCAAGAGCGTGACATTATCTGTCAGTAATGATGACATACAGGACCTCGAGCTAACTCTTTAAATAGGATCCCCAAGATTCACTCGGTTTAAAACTGTGTTGCTCTTTGTAGGTGGCCGTTGATTATAGACACAGGAAAAATATATTTTATTCCTTTTATTATTATTACTATTTCTTGCTGCAATTTAATCCATGTCAGCCTATGGATCTGGCAGAGGAAAAAAAACTGGCAAGATAAACTTGATTCAAGTACAATTTTAATTTAATAAAAGTGTTTACAGGACACATTTCTCCTGAATTGCTGAAATAAAACAGTTTCTTTCTTTTTCCATTTAATTCAATGCACTTCCTGAATCTAACAGACTTAGATTCCTATGCAGAACTTTTCCGCTAAAGTCAAACAAATGGTATAGCGCTTTACCTCGTCCAGAGGACCACAAAGTATTACACATTACGTTCAGTGATTCCCACACACATTCGCACGCTGATGGTGGCAAGCTACAGGATTGTAGCCACGGCTGCCCGGTGGCTGAAGCTACGCACCAAGGCAGGTGAAGTGTCCTGACCGGACAACTGAGCCGGACACCCACCGGTTAAAGCACAAACTACTACCGCCGCCGCCGTCGCCAGCTACAGGGAAAACTCTCTCTTTTGGCGGCTGGATCTGAATCTAAAACGCATAACGTAAAATAAACCAATTTTCGGCAATGATAACACAGTTGTAGAATTTGATTTCATGGTGTATCCAAGTGTACCATTTAATTTCAGCACACACTCGCACATAAAAGAACACCATTAGCTTTGAACCATAACTGCCCTCCCCTGCTCGGTGCGTGACTGCTCCCCAAGGCTGCTGCTGTAAATATCAATGTTTTCTCACTCTGCTTGCTTTTATTAAATGAGAGTTTTAAAAACAAAAAAGTCCCATCATTTTTTTTTTCTTTCACCCTCAAAAGCTCAACACCTTGACATTGGTATTCCTGTGCAGAGAACTGTGTCCTAAAACAGGCCAGCATCAATTCGCCCGATTAGGTCCCCCAGGCTAGAAAATGCATAAAGTGCATAGGGTGTGTGTGCTGCATGAGAATGCGACGGTCGCAGCCAGAACGCAAGATGGCCTCACCTCGCTATGGACGAAGCATCAAACATGCACACCTAAGTGCTTCTTCCCGGCTGTTGCCGTGCATCGATGAATAATGCACATATTAATCTCACAAAGTATGGGAGCTTTGCTAATTAATGCAGCATTTCCCTGGTCAAGGTTAGCTAATTAAAGTGGCATCTTTATGGACACTAGACATGGACAGCATTCTCAATTTGGCTTTGCTGACTTTTTGCCCCATTTCTTTATTTTTATTTTATTTATTATACTCTCAGCAATCTGTCTTTGGAAAACTTTCCTGAACATCATCTTCCACTGTGGCGGTCGCAGTAATGGTTGGGATCTTAATGTGTTGGGCACTTAGGGACCACTTTAAGTGGCTGCATATAGATGTAGGAAAGAAACAGAAAGCTTTAAAGGGGCAGTATTATGTAAATTAGACTTTTTCCCGTTTTACAATGTTTTTCCTTCGTCAAAGACACACCAGGAGTGTTGCTTTGATTCTTTCATGCATGTTTGAGAAATCCTTGAATCTCCTGTGGCAACCAGTCAGAGTTTCAAAATGCTAGCTATCTCCTTCAGACTAGCGGCAGCAGCAATTAGCAAACACCTGGTGGAACATTGCATCTGCTGAGCTCAGCACATGAAGAACTTCTCAGTGAAAAGCTGGTTAAAAACGTTTTTAAAGGAGAGACGTTTTCGGGATGACGTGTTGAAGGCGGAGTCTCGGTAAAAAGCAGGAGCTTGTTAAAGAGACAGAGGCTCAATTTCAAGGCGTTAAATCGCAAAGTCAAGTTTCTTTCAAGTCACCTTTGATTTATGCAGCGTTTTCATAACGACTGAAGCTAACGTAGTTACTTGATTGTGCTCTAAAATGACACTCTGTGTCTGGAAAATACAAAATCCTGCCTCTTCAAACTGTAGCAAGTTTGTCAATAGAGTGAGTGAAGTTTGTTGAAGGTTTGTTTGGGTTTTAACTCCCCTGCTGGTTGATGTTCTGCAGCACATGCTGGGATCTTTCCCCTGCAGCGGTGGGGAGAGGAGACGTGACAGCAGGGACCCTGTCTTTGTTAAACCGAGCCACTTGTGAGGGAGAAGCGAGCGCCGTTTGAGAAACCGGCAGTCCTACGGAGGCGGAGACGGGTTGTGGCTCGCGTGTCCCCTCTAGCCCTCCGACCCCCTGCTCTTTAGCTTTGGCCAGCAACTCGCTGACGGTCTTTGAGAAGACAGCTCGAGGGTCAACAGGAGAGAGCGCGGGGCATGAACAAGTTTCCCTCAGCTCCAGAGCCTGCACAGATGAACAAAAAGCAGAAACAGGTATAGATTTAATCGATGACAGCTCTAAATCACGACACAACGTATCTTTGATCAATCAATATTCAGTCTGAAACAAACAAATCCTGCTAATTGAAGATGTTCTTCCTTCTTTATGAACAAATGGTCACATCTGCTCTGCCACTGCAAACACGCTGGTCAACTAGATGTAGAGCTCACCCAACACATATGTTAATATTATCACATCAGTTTGAAAAAATAAGTGTTAGTTTGTGTGAATTAACCAAATAGCATATTTTTGTAATAAATATACTTGTAGGAGTTAAACATAGTTCCTCTTCTGTACTTAGAATCTCATATACATTGTGAAAATATTCACATCCCTCCAACTTTTTCATATCTTGTAACTTACTGACCTCAACTTCAAGGTATTTTAGCAAAGTTTTATATGAAGCTCTTCTGGAAGGAGAATCTCAACCACATTCATTTGCAGCAATTAAATGAATATTTGGTCACCTCGAGATGACCAAATATTTACCTGTGTCCATGTTTCTATCAGCATAATACTGCCACCACCATGTTTTACATGTTTTACTGTGGAGGTGATGATGTTAACTGTGTTCTGCATTGTAGGATTTGAGATGAAATAGAAATTTTGATGAGTCGGGTGCGACGGAAATGTCAGTTTTGGTCTGACCTGACCAAAGTGCCTCCTTTCACATGATAGCCGTGTTCCTTACATTTCTCGTGGGGACTCTTTAAATGGGTCCTCCAATAGCTTCCTTTAAACAATGGCTTTCTCTTTGCTACTCTTTCACAAAGGCCAGACGTATGGATTGTATGACTAACAGTAGTCATGTTGACAGATTGTCCCACCTGAGCTCCGGATCCCTCCAGAGTTACCATGGGGCCTCTTGCTACTTCTCTGATTAATGCTCCTCTTTCAACCACAACAAGGTTTGTAGTTGTGCCATACTGACATTTTTTTTTTTTTAACCTATTTCTTTTTGAGGCGTCCAAAGCTTGGGGTATTAGACCTCGAAACCTAAAAGTTTTACCGCAAATTTTTTGTCCTGATGTTTTCTAGGTAATTGAACAGGCTGTGAAAGCGTGACGCAGCGATCGCGGCCCCACAAACACAAATGCAGCTCTTGAAGAACATTCCCATTAATAACACACTCCTTTGTGACACCCACAGCATATAGTCATATTTCCAGATTTACTGATATTTGTTGATATTCTTATTGAACAAGCAGTGGAGAAAATCATTAAAAAAAATGACAATGCCGCCAACACGGACAGTTTTGGGGAGTTTTAAACGTCATTAATTGGAATTCATCGTGGGCAACAATAAATCGAAATTCTTACAGAGGCAAGAAATTTATCACGATAAATGAAAAGCGATACGATAAATGCCCACCTCTATTTCCAAATGTGTTTTTTTTTTTTTTAACCCCCATTTTTGTTTAAACTTATCATTTAAAAAACCCATAAAACAAAAAACAATCAGAAAGGGGGTGAATACTTTCCAAAGGAAGTGTGCGTGTACAAACGTGCACTCAACTATCCACTCGACAGCCTGTCCTTCTCATGCTACCTGTGGACTTAATTTGCTTTGCTTAAGGATGATGAGCACACTTGTGGAGGAGGAGGAGTGCCCCCAGAAGAGTCGGGTTAAGTAGCTTGAGGCTGTCACCCCTTCGCAAGGTTAAAAACATCATATTATGCATCACTTTCAGCTGATGAAGCTCAGCTGTTAGCCGGTTCATCTGTGCTGCTCGGCTGGATCAAACTGCTTGGTGTGAGCCGGGTATTATATATTATCGCACCAGAAGCAGAGTTTTATCAGCTCATGCACACAAACAATACCCGCGCCGCAGCGTTCATCACTTCGCTGCCTGCAGCTACATCCTGGCCTCGACAACAACTGCTGCTAGAGGTCAGCCCGTCTCACAGGGAAGTAAGCGATGCACAAACTCCACAACTTTGCCACCTGATGGACAATTAAGAGGCTTTGCCCATCTGTTCGACGTTACCGCTTGGAGCATCTGATGGAGCGACGATATTCCGACTACAGCAACACGTATGGCTGCCTAAAATACTCACAGGTATAAAGCGTACAACCACTGTCGAAGTTGTTTTTCATTTTTAGTGCCTGCTGATTCCTCTTTAGCCTTAAGATAGTAATGATTGTCTTCCCACCGCGCCAGCAGAGTGTCCCGTCCTGTGAGACTGAGTGGCTAATGATAAGAGCCGTTCTCTTCCAGATCCAAAACATTCAAATCCTACACGACATTTTGCTGTGCCAAGCATCCAGGGCCTGGCACAACAAAATGGTTTTCCTGTCTTCCTAAAGCCCTGCATCTTTTCCTCCTCTTCCCCGAGTCTCTGCTTCCTCTGCGGCTCCCTCTCCGTGTCTGCAGGTGGGCATACAGCTCTCCAGATGCTTCATTAGTTCTATTCAGACATCTTCAAACAGCACCTAAAGCTACGCATTTTGTTCAAAACAACAAACGTCCGACGAGGATGAAAAGAAATGCCCTCACTTCATTCGGCGGCTTGCGACAATCCCATGAAGAAATGCTTTTGTTTGTTAACTGGTGGAGACACAGCTGAATGTGGCGCTTGTTGTGTGTTATTCTACCTGTGGGATGAGGCGGTCCATCTGACCAGACCTGTTCCTGTGTGAGGGGTGTGTCGACAGCCACTCGGGTACCGTGGGATTCCCTGTAAGCTTGTCTACAATTTCCAGCTGCTGCCAGAACACGGGGCCTGCTCGCACATCTGCACAGGCCTGGGAAAGACGTACACACACACACACACATGCACATATACAACTCTTAATCAAAAAATACACACGTAACACAGCAGTACACAAATGAAAAGCCTTTCTAAAGGAGCTGAATTTAGTTTGACAACAGTGCCCCCTGGTGCCTCGTTGGCAGATTGCAAAGTGTTTCAGCAAAACATACATAGAAAATGATTCCACTTATTACTTTAATTTTTTACAGTGTGCATTAAACTTCATGGAGCACCTTTCAAAATTATTGGCACCTGTAGTGAAGATGTGTGTAGCACAAGTCAGTACTTTGTAATAACAACAGTAAATGGTTGGAATCTAGACTTTGCAGCAATATCGTAGCTATAGATTCAGGACTAATGTGAAACAAACTTAGCAGTGGTACCTTAGCAGCTAAATGCAATCCAACCTGATCTGCCTCAGCTTCCAGTTTTCGACTGTAGGGATGGTTGAACATCAGCTGCAAAGGTGAAAGAAGAACTTTCACATACGACAATCCAAAAAAACACAACTTTCACATTTTACAGCTTAAAACTGACGTAACTCTTCGAACATTGTAATTTTTCCTGCTATTCTCACTTTAGCTTCAACGCCCTGCCTGCAGCTCCAAGTATTCAAATGACTCAAATCATGAATAGTAATACCTCACCTCCGTGAGCTTGTCCTTTGCCCACCCTCCCACCAGTGCCAAGCTGTCCCCAGGACACAGCGCCCAGATGGCTGTCACCACAATAAGAGACAGGAGGTCCACAACGTGAGACAGGCTGGCCTGTTCTGCCTGGAGGGAGCGGGGCAGAAGATGAAACAAGGAAGTGAACAACAGCACATCAACAGCAGGAATAAGGTTAAAGAGGGAAAACCAGAGCTGAAAACTTTCTGAGAGAGGGGAGGAGAGGGGAATGGTTCAGCTGCAACATATTGATTGTTCTCACCTATTCTGCTGAAACACTTTGCGCTGCAACAGATTTAGAGGTTTTAAGAGTCTATCCATCACGGCACGCTAACTTTGTAACTTCGAGGTCATCGACGTTCGTTCCCCTTCAGCTAATTAAAATCTCCTCCCGAGCATCTCCTCCCAGGATGTCTACAGACTTGAAATGCCCAAAAAGTTATTTGGAGCTTTTAGAACAGAGCAAATGGGGATTATGGAACTGCAGGGAAAAGTGTTTCTGAAAAAGAAACGAGCCCTGATAAATCAGCACTAGGTGGGTGTTTGGAGGGGACTGTCACGGAGTCGCAGCAAAGTCTGACGCAATAAATCCGAAAGGGGTGCCACAGTCGAAATAAACCGACTCATGGATGGAGCAAAGGGTGATATCTAGACAAGGTGGTGTTAATTGACGCAGCCCAAAGTGACATAGTCATAGAACTCAAAGAAGACAATAAAAACAATTTTTTCCAAGAAGGAACATTTGAATTTGCAGTGCTCTTAACTTTTCCTCACATGTGAGGACAGCTGAGGTCGGAGAATCTTTCAGCATGACAACTATTGTTAGTCACACACTTCGCAAATCTTGCATGTGTGAAAATGGCAACAAAATTAGAATAACATGTAAGAAAGGTATATAAATATTGTCATTTTCTACAAGGCATGACGACATGTGGAAAAGATACAAAGGGAACATGAATACTTTGGTAAGACATTGTAGACATAAAGAGGCTGATTTCATCATATTCCAGAACCTGGACGTTGTAGCAGCAGGAGAAAGGGGCAGCAACACTTGGGAATTCAAGAACTTTCATCTAGTCCATATTGGTTTCTGGAAACATTTTTTATGTCATTTTAAAACTCTACATCTTTCTGAACAGCTTTGACTGCATTTATTTTCCCTGATTCACATTTATATGTCGGCCTATTGAAAAAAAAAACCCTCCAACGTTGATCTACGTAGCTTTAATGTGACAAAATGTGAAGACGTTTGAGGCGTTTTAGACTTTTGCAAGGATCCGTATCTAATATGCTTCATTAAAACAGATTCCACATCATTAAAAATACGACAAGTTGCTTTAATAAAAGCAATTAGCATTAAGCAACAGCAATTGCATAAGGTCGTGAGCTTACCGAATGGTCCAGGATAGCATGAGCCATTTCATGTCCAAGAACAATCATGAGCTGGTCCAGATCTGCCACGGCTCCCAACATCCCAGTGAACATAAACACTTTCCCATTCTGCAAAAAAAAAAGAAAAAAAAAAAGAAAAACAGAACAAGCTTAATCATAATGCATGCCTGAGCCACATGCTGTACTGACGTAACAAGGGGCATGAACAAGTGAAAAAAGTTTTGGGTCCGTGTCTCTTTTGTTTTTACTTACTGGAAGGACAAAGGCATTGATTTGGGGACTTTCCACCACATGAACACTCCAGGGGACTTCAGACACTTCTGGGATGTCCTTGTTCCTTTGTGCTAGGAGCTGCACCGCCTGCTCCACCATCTGGTGAAGAGGGTCAGTGGCAGGAAGAAGCAGCTCCGCAAACTCCTCCAGGTGCTGAAACACACAGTCACAGGGCCGTTTTTATTTCCCTCCAGACATCATTTTCCCTGTTTTCATTGCAGATCTTGAGGATCTGGGTGAAACCGCTACCGAGAATCACATTTCAGCAGCACTGAATATTCAAGAAACAGTGCGGTGATTAGAGTCTGCCCCCGTTTCTCACCGCCTCTGAAGTCAGAGCAGCCAGCTCCATGTACTTCTCCCTGCTGAACACAAGGAGGCGGGTCCTCCCCGTCACAGGGGACTCATCCAGGTGTGTTAGGAGCAGAAGGGCCACGATCACCAAAGCAACTCCCGCTCCCGTCGCCAGATGCCAGCGGCGCCTCCGGAGCCATTCGCGCACGAGCTGTCGGCGATTGTCTGGTAGAGACCCCCACCATTTCCTTAGACTCCTGCCCAGAAAAGGGAGGAGAAACTAGTCAGGTAAATAAGTTAAAAAAATAAAATAAAATCACACGTGGGCCAGTGGTGCTCAATAGTACAAAGACTGTAATCGTTTAAAGCTTCCTTCATGTTGGGAAACATCTCTTATGGCGGAGAATGAAAAACAAGGAGAGTACAAAACAGAATTGTGGAAATACAGACTGAGATTAATCCTTTAATCTTTAAAGAGGCGACGGAAGGCCCGAGGGTCTGACGAAGCCGCTATGTGGCAGGTTTTTAATTATCCCAGAGTGAGAACCCAAACATATGGTGCAGGTGCCTGGAATCACTTCCCTAAAGGCCTGAATACAGCCGAGTTTGGATTTTATTTTAGTGAACTCAAACAACATTGGGTTTTTTTTTCTATCTAAGGTAATTGTTTATTGTTTTAATCAATAAATAAGGGAATCTGTTGCATGTAAACCAATATGTTTGTATTATTTGTCTTACTTCATAATACAAATGTCATTAAATAGATATTGGTGACTGATGTTTTAGAGTAAAGTAAATGAAGGATACCTTGTCATTTATTAGAAAATATCTAATCTAAAGTTTAAG